GGACATTTAAGAGTATGTTCTACATTTAGCCTGGCTTTCAGAATCATTACTTTATATTGCACTGAGTGAATCACCTGTCTTTTCTTAGGTTACTTCATTGAAAAGGCATAGGATATTTTCCTGACTTATTCTTATGTAAAGATCATATTATGTAAAGTAGAATAGATGAAACTTTGGACTTGAAATTAACTGCTAAAAATCTTGAAGAGAATTCATATTTGATGTCATTCTGCCTGCTGTTATATAATTACTATTTCAGTTGGAGAATGTAATTGGAAATGCATTGGACTTTACGGGAAAACAAATTTTAAACAGATCTTCCAGAGAAGAATATCAGCTTTCTTAGAGTACAAATTTAGACTAGATAACGATAGGAAACTGGGTGCGATGACCAGTTACCCACTCTAGAAGTGTGAGTCATGCCTCATTCCACTGTTTCCTTCGTTCTCCAATCAACCACTTTCTTTATTTATTCTTAATTATCTGTTAAATCTGTGCTCTTTTATTAATAATCATGAAAATGTATTGAGCTAAGTATGAAGCATAGTTTAGAATACTTTTTCAAATCTTCACAACTCTGAAGTACATGTATTATGATAATCATTTTACATACAAGGAAACTGAAACTCAAAGAATTAAATAACTCACCCCAAAAGTCATCAGTTATCAATGGCAGATCTAGAATTTGAACTAAGGTCTGTCTCATTTTCTTACCATTGCCATTTCGACTACACCATTTTGTTTTTTGTTCTGCCCGAATCTGGTCTAGTTGACACTTTTGCACTGGTCTTCTTACTCATCCCCTACATTCAGCCTCTCCCTGCCATGTCCTCCACACAATTGATTGGCTTATCTGTCTGAAGCGGGTCTTTGAGAGCAGAGAGCATATCTTACTCATCTTTCTATCCCCAACACTAGTACCTACATCCATGCACGATACTTTGGAGGTGCTTAAAAACTTGCATTGAATATGACCTCATTATTTTTTAAAATTTAAAACCTTTTTCTGCTTCTGAACCATGCAGGATAAAATCTGACTTTTCGAGTTCATTTCCAGCTCCTACTCCCCTGCATGTTTCAGTGTTCCTGTCCCGTGTTTTAGTGTTCCAGCCATAGAAATACTGTTCAACCCAGCAATCCCATTACTGGGTATATACCCAAAGGAATATAAATCACTCTATTTTAAAGGCACATAAACATACTGTATGTTCATTGCAGTACTATTCACAATAGCAAAGATATGGAATCAGTCTAAATCTCCATGAGTGATAGACTGGATAAAGAAAATGTGGGAGGCCAATGCAGGCAGATCACTTGAGGTCAGGAGTTCAAGACTAGCCTGGCAAGCATGGCGAAACCCTGTCTCTACTAAAAATACAAAAATTAGCTGGGCATTATGGCACATACCTATAATCCTACCAACTTCAGAGGCAGAGGCACAAGAATCTCTTGAACCCAGGAGACAGAGGTTGCAGTGAGCTGAGATTGCACCACTGCACTCCAGCCTGGGCAACAGAGTGGAACTGTGTCTGAAAAAAAAAAAGAAAATAAAATGTGGTTCATATACACCATGGAATACTATGCAGCCATAAAAAAGAATGAGATCACGTTGTTTGCAGGGACATGGATGGAGCTGGAGACAATTGTCCTTAGCAAAGTAACACAGAACAGAAAATCAAATACCACATGTTCTCACTTATAAATGGGAGTTAAATGATGATAACGTATGGACACACAAAGGGGAATGGCACACCAGGGCCTATTGGATGATGGAAGGCGGCAGGAGGAAGAGGATCAGGAAAAATAACTAATGGGTACTAGGCTTAATGCCTGGGTGGTGAAATAATCTATACAACAAATCCCATGACACAGTTTGCCTATGTTATAAAACTGTACATATGCCCCTGAACTTAAAAGTTAAAAAAGAAATTATTCTTACATAAATAATCAGGTCCTGAACCATGCAAAAGAAAATATGTATCCATTTGCAGATGTGCCCCTGAACTTAAAGTAATCATTTCTGCACCCTTCTTCATTCTGTTTTCCCAACTTCTGTTCCTGATAAAAATCTGCTCTTTATCTCTTGAGGATCAGTTCAAATGAAACCTCCTTTTGAAACTTGACTTTTCCCCTCTAGAAGAATTAGTCATTCCTTTCCCTGTGGGCATATAGTTTAAATATTCATTCTATCACAATAAGCGCATTATATTATATTTAATATATATATTCATCTTCCTCTCAACACTCATCCAGATTGAGAGCTCTTTGAAAGAAAGTATATATTGGTTTATTTTTACATCCCCAATGCTTAACAGAATATCTGACACATAGTAAGCTCTCCACAAAAAAACTATTTGCTTAATGAGACACTGAGGTCATTTTAGTTTAAAAATTATATCCCATGTGTTTATTAGGTTGATTGCAGAGTGGGATTAGAGCAGTTACATTTCTGAAACTATCACCCAGTAAAGGTGAGCAATGATTTTGCTATATCAAAGAAACCTTTGTATGATCTCAGTGTTGATTGTTCTTATCAATACAGATGATTTAATGACATGTGCCAGAATTCTTGGCACAGTGTTTTATAGATGCGGAGCTTTCAGGACATGTTGGGTAAATGAAAGAATTAATTAATTAATTAATATGTGTGTATGTGTAACTAAAAAGATGCAGCCATATCTACTAAGGGTACAAGGAAAACTAGAAGAACAATTGCCAAAATATAAACGTTGTTTAGCAAGCAAAGTCATTTTTTTTATAGAACTCAGAACACACTTTTCCAGAGGAGCAAATTTGTAAACATTGGCCAGAGTTTAAGGGTAAGTTCAAAAGCTTCATTCAGAAAATAACTGAAATGGGTTAGGTGTTACATGGCCTATTTACTAGGTGCTGTGTTTCCTAGTGAAAAGGGCGAGCCTGTCTGCAGCCCAGGAGACTTGCCATTTGTTTTTACCAAATGTGCATGCAATAGCGAACTAAACTGGCGATTACTTCTGCTTTGTTTTGTAACCATGTCACTGTTTTCCTGAGAGTAGCCTTGTTTACTATGTCACTAATTTCCTCAACAGTTTACTTGACAAGCCCTTTGCACAAAATAAATAATCCCTGATGATAGACAGTTTTTATTGTGTGGAATAAACTTTTAATTATGTAGAAAAAGAAAGGCAAGACACTTCTAAATATACGACGTGGAGCAATATCACTTCTCAAAGGATTTATTGATGTTTTTGGTGCAGAGCTCTGATTCCCCATCATTTTCACATTAAACATTTTTGCTGGTTACTGTGGCCATCAGGCATCCCTATGTCAACTAGCTGTTTTTCTTCCCTTTACCTTCCTTGTTCATTACATGTCTTTGCCTCACCTGGGTAAACCTTCTTGCTAACCCTTATTCTGTGTCTATGTCACTGATGCTGCCCCTTTACAGAAACCATAGCTTATGGTTTGAATACCCTTCTTAAGATCTAATACATACTCATTAAAAACTTCATCACTGTCTCACTTCATTAATTCATCCAAGAAATATGTATTGAGCAGAGCATGTGCTAGGAGCTATACTAGATACTGGATCTACTATACTAATTGTGACAAAATTCAAGCCCTCAAGGATCACTGTGTTTAGTAAGAGAGACAGATAAGGCAAAAAGGAACTGCAGTACAAAGTGGCAAGTACTGTAATAGCAGTATGCACTCTTTTCATCAAGAGTGGCAGTGAAACTGTCCTTTATTTTGTTCCATTATTGATTATATAACCAACCTTAATGAGCTATAATCTGACTCACTGTATCACACAAAGCACAATTTATGGAACTAATCCTCTTTCTAAGATTATCATCTAAGGCCATTCATATACTACTACTCATTGGATACTATTGATTGGATATTTGATTTTTGTCATACAATAGTATTGTCTTAAGTGTCTGGTGGAAATGAAGCCTTTTGGTATTTTCTTGGTTGCATATTCATTTAAAGTAGACTGATATTATTACTCAGCTTGTTATTGAATAAACAAATGTGTAGAAGGTTAACTGGTACCTCCAAAATAAGTATGATAAAACAATAGGGTGCTTTCTTAGTTTTTTCCCTAAGCATCAACATTGTAAAATGTTTGAGGATCTTTAATAATTCATTCAGTATACATTGTTAAAAGCTCATTACTTGGTTTTGGGTCCCAAAGATGTAAAAATATGCAATCTCTAGCCTCACTCACTATCTGGAATAACAGGCAAAATTATAAGCATAAAATTATAATATAGTATGAGAAGTGATGTGTTCCAGGAGTGTACCAGAGACCATAGCAGCACAAATGAGAGTGAGATGCTGATTTTAATTCAGTGCAGTATGAGAAGCGTGTATATATAGTGTATATATATATATAATATAATGATTCCTTTTCACCATTTCTTATTTCAAAATGAGGAGGAAATATTCACTGATTTTACTGATTATAACTGTAGTATATACACTTTAAATTTTTAAAAACCACTGCAGTATTCAAAAATAGAAAGTCAGAGTTGCCCCTTAATATAACCTCTGAGAAATAAACTATTTTTAGCAGTTATTATTTGGTTTATAAACATATTTTTACATGTATGGTTCTTACTGTAGAAATACTAATTTGTAAACTATAATTTTTTCTAGTCAGAAAATTTTATAGATTGGGAAAACCTATTTGTATTGACATGAAGAGATAACCATAATGTAGTAAATGGGTTGTTTTAAAACTAAAGAGAATATTAATTATCTTTCATGGATATAAATAATTTTGGTTTAGAGGTGATCTTTTTTCAGAATATGGCTCTTTTTCAATTAAAATGTACGATTAGAATAATACAAAACTTCCAGATAGTCTATTGAAAATTAGTCTTTAATGCTCTGGGTTTAATTACCAAAATGAAAAAAGAATATAAAGTTGTGAAGAGATTTTCTAATAGGTCATTATACTGTTAGATATTCTGTATGATAAGTATTTTATTTAAAAGTTTATTTGGATTTTCCAGGCCTCTAGACTCAGGACTCAACAGTGCTTTACAAGGTTTATCTGTCATAGACACACACCTTGTTGAAGTAGATGGGGATACACTTTCCCTGTATGGCTCAGGAGCGCTGGAATCTCTGGATAGGAATTGGAGTGTTCAAACGGCAGGAATGATCACAACAGTCTCCTTCACGTTCATAGAATTTGATGAAATCGTCCAAGTGCTTCCCAAACTGAAGATTAAGTTTCCTAATTCTCTGGTAAATATTTCCTTTCAGTAGTATATTTGAATTATTCTTAGTCATGACTTGTGTGTTTGGGCCAAAGACCTGTTTTAACTTTTATTTATGTAGTCTCTATCGGGCAGGAAGATTAAGGTTTTGTGTTGATTTTCTTGAGCTAGAATTTAAATTAATATTCATAAAATGGCCTTAAAGTTTTATGTTAATATTGGAAATTATATCTTGAAAGAATGATCCTTTATGGGTTAGAAAAAGACTGATATAATTTTATTCAAGTTATGTATTCTACTTTATAAAGCATTCAGCTTTATCACATAGCCTTATATATTCACCTATTGTACCTAGTAATGGTCCGATGTATATTTGTCATATAATTTTTACAAAAATCCCCTAGCAGTGTTGAAAATAATTTTAGTAGCACATTAAAATTACTTTGAGAAATTAGCCTTCCTCATTTATGGTGTCATTATATTATTTAGTATGCATTTGTAGAAATTGTGATTTCTGTAATGAGTTCTCTCTTGAGTTTTTATTGCTGCTGTGTTTTTCTCTGTTGGCCACATGACTTCCTCACCTGCCTTTTCAGTCGGCGGGGGCTGGGGGTGGGTTTCACTTCATTTGCTCTAAAGAAGATAATTAGGGGTGGAGACAATGTGTTTAGAAAAGAGCATCTAGATCCACATACAGAATGCTTGCGTTAACATTGCAGTTTTGGTGATTTGATTTTTCTGTAGGCAGTATAACTATCCTACACAGTGTTTGCCAAGATACAAGTAATAACAACTAACTAGTTCTTCTCAGAAAAATTGTGGGCCCTGTATTTTAAAAAGACTGAAATCTTCATTTTCAGTCTTTTTAAAAAATTGATTTATTATCAGCGTAAAGCGTATAAAATCAATAATTCCTGAAAGAATCTGCATTACTTGTTATTTATGTAACTTTAAAGAATGTTTGTTTATAAATGAACATGTCACTTATAGAAGGAATCACCCAGAATTCAATATTGGATGGATTTGGTCAATGGTACGTTGGCTGAATTAAAGTTACATAAGTTTAGTACATTCAGTTGTTTTAATGTAATTGAAAACATATTTGCTAAGCTGAAAGTTTACATATTTACTTGGGGAATGATCAGTGAAGCTTTAATGTTAAGATTTCAATATGGTTAAACTCAATGTTCTGATCTTTTTTTGTGTTTTATCATTCTAGCACCTTAAATTCAAGGAAACAAATCTTGTAATGCTGCAGCAATTTAATGCACTAGCGCAACTCCGTCGTATTGACCAGTTGACAATTGATCCTCAAGGAAATCCAGTTGTCAGTTTTACACTCTGGAAATACTATGTACTGTTTCGGCTAAGCCATTTTAGTTTGCAGAAAATAAATGGAACAGAGGTAAGCTAAAAACTAGATGAACTATAGAATAAATATGTTCCTTCTTAGGGGAAGTAGTTATTTTAAATGGTTAGGAATTTAAATAACCATGATAGAACATTTGCAGCATATTGGTTTTTAAAAATATATTGATATTTAAAATGTCAAAAACCTAAAAATCTGTTTTAAAACTTCCAAAGCACTAAACAAATTGTGAAAATAAAACAGTAACCAGGTTATACTGAATGGCAAATATTTTACTGTTGTGTGTAAGTATTCAGTGAAATAAAATGGTGGGGTGACAGTTAAAAATAAAAATAAACTCTTCTGTAAGTAACGTGATCTTTGTATTTCTCAAAGTACTTTGCAGACTGCCTGGTATGCTAGAGGGAATAAGGAAGTAAAACCTACATGTCAACTAATTAAGGGTATTGTGGTAGAGAAAGGGAAGAATAAAATGGAAAAAAAAAAAAAAAAGCAGGGGGAGGGAAGAAGATGATTTGCAAAAAGAAGAGACAAAAAGGAGGAAAAAGCCAGGAAGAAAGATAAAAGAAGAGAAAGTAAAAATAAGAGAAAAAGAAAATGAAACAAGCTGATATAAATGTCTAGACTGCTCTGTTAATAGTTGGTAGCAGCTGCCTGTGCCGTGACTACCCTGGGCAACTCAGGTCTGGAGCAGAATAGCTGGAAAATTGTTATTGAAAAGTTATTCTTAGGTTGATTCTGCTAAGCTTGTCCCCCAGCTACTCAAAAACCATGTTCTTTTTAAATATTAATTTGGAAGAAAAAAGAGCAACTATGCCTCTACCACTACTGAATTTAAATACTCCTCCAAAGAAAAAAAATCATCTTTAATATGTTAGTCTTGTTACAATATCTCTTGAAATCCAGAAGGCCTCCTTATTATAAGATCAACTGTAGTCAGCTTTCTGGCTCAGTAACTGTATTTTCCTGCAGCTGATACACTACAGATAGATACTTAACTCCAAAAATTCAGCATACTATGAGGAGACTGCACATCTCTGGATCAATGTACAAGCAACTATATGAAATGTGCATCAACCATGGTATTTCTGTGACCTCAGAATCAGCCATCTGCTGAAGATGTCGGGTAAATCTGAATCTTCAGATGACTTTTAATTTCTCCAGCTAGTTTTCAAGAGGGTTGGATCAGTCTTGTGTACTCTCGTATACTATTTGATGCTTCCGCAGAGACAAGGTTGTGAATCCCTGGAAGGACCTAATAATTAGCCCTAAAGGTTTCTAAAGTTAGCCAAGACTGGAAATAGAATGGTTATTTTGACTATGGGTGAGTGATTCCCCCTTAATAATGGCCAAACCATTACCCTTATTAACCCCATATAGTGTATTTACCCAGATATGGATCATTACTAGAAGAATATCTGTTATTATAGAACTTTGAATTACAAAGGAATAGTATAATTATATAAAGTAAAGAAGAATTAGAAATAACCAATATAATTTATTCTGATTTAAATTTCTGAAAATGTCAATGCCAGGGATATTTGACACCTTATTAAAATACCTAAAATATATTCCTGTTTGTAAAGTCCTCAATCTTATATAGTAATGTTACACTGCATTTCTACTTTTCTGTGTATAAAAAAGAATGATATTGCTTGAGGTAGAATTAAATTGAATTATGAGCATCAAGAAGAAAAGATGGAGTAGTGGCCTGCATTGGCCACTAGGTGACTATATTGGATCAGACACAACTTAGTTATTAGCTAAGGAAGGTTTTGAGGGAATAGAAGCCTCCTTAACTATGAAGAACCAGGGAAGAGAAGAGATTTAGTCTGAACTGATTCATATGTATAAGATGTTTGTGAATTATCGGTTTGTTTGTTTGTTTGTTTTTTGAGACGGAATTTCGCTCTTGTTACCCAGGCTGGAGTGCAATGGCGCCATCTCAGCTCACCGCAACCTCCGCCTCCTGGGTTCAGGCAATTCTCCTGCCTCAGCCTCCTGAGTAGCTGGGATTACAGGCACGCGCCACCATGCCCAGCTAATTTTTTGTATTTTTAGTAGAGACGGGGTTTCACCATGTTGACCAGATGGTCTCAATGTCTTGATGTCGTGATCCACCTGCCTCGGCCTCCCAAAGTGCTGGGATTACAGGCTTGAGCCACCGCACCCGGCCTGGTTTGTTTTTAAGAAAATACCTGTGAAGAGTATTACAGCTCGTTTTAGGAACGAATTTTCAAAAGGTCCACTACCTTGGCTCCACTGACATTTTGAGCCAGATAATTCTTTGTTGTGGGGGCTGTTCTCTGCATTGTACCATGCTTTAACAGCTACTTCGTCTCTACCCATACCCACTAGATGCCAGTCATGCCCAGAAATAACTAAAAATGTCTCCAGACATTACCAAATGTTCTGGAGGGGGCAAAATGGCTCCTTGGCTGGGATAATTTAATTATATAGACAAACCAACAGTATTTAAAATGTAAGCAACCTTATAATATATTAAAGAAAATGTGCCCAGATAGCAATACAGGTGCTGCTTTCAGCTTTTAGTACTTTCTTGGTTAATATAAGAATGAGCCCTCATAGGGTATACTTGTGACAAGTTATTCTTTTTGGGGAGAAAGACTGATGTAAATTTAGAATGAACAGGAGCATCCTGGCTAATTGAGTGAAAGTTGCATCTCTCAGGAAGGGACAAAATTATTCCCATAAGAGCAAGGTATGACCAACACCTTGGCTTACCTTTGACACATTATTAAAATGAATCTATTCCATTGACACTTGGGAATTTTTTCCTCAAAATCATTCTACTCCAAGAGGCTATAGGATTTCTGAAAAAAATTACTAAAAATTGAAGTTACCTCAAGTGTAATTCTCAGGAAATACAGCTTCTAAACCAGAACTAACTCATCACCTCCAATCACCTCCATCATCATGGACCACAATTATACATCTTCATTTTAAGTCAAGAAAGAAAAATATCAGTGAAAACTCTTCTCCCTACAGCACAGGAGAATGCACTTTTGTGGGCTTAAAAGATAATATTTAATCTGGACCTCTCTTTGGGATTATATTAGTTTTATCCAGCTAAGAGGTGGTGTCATTTTTTACCCCTTTCTATCATATCTCTTCAGGTGACACAGAATGATATGATAATGGCTGAAAGGCTCTTTGGAATCCTAGCACATGTAGCATCTTCTGAGTTACCCCAGTATCGTCTGATTTCCATTCTGGGTGATGCCAGGTAACCTTTAATTTTTTATAGTTTTTATAGAATTACTGTTATACTAGAAGAAGAAATGAATCCCATATACCTCTTAAGTATGCTAATTATATGTTCCATAAACGTGTATCCTAGACTGGCCCTATTGAAAGTGTTGGGGATATTAAGATATAAGATGAAGTCCTTATTCTCCCATGGCTTATAGTCTAATAAGTTAAAGATTCTCACAAGCAATTAAAATGTAATGTTTCTGGTGAGGGCCATTGGAGAGACTAACCACATTTTTTTTTTTGGAAGAATACTGAGGAAGGCTTCACAAAAGGAGACAACATCTTCATCTAGTTCTTTGGGAATCAGTGGGAGTTTTCAGGTAGAGAATATGGGGGAAAGATACCTGTAAAAGCACAAGTAATTATAAATAGCTCCATATAATTGGAACATGGGATGATTATGAATAAGTATAGGAAATGAAGCTAGAAAGATTGATTGTAGTCTGACTTTGAAGAGCTTTCCCATCCATGCCAAGAAAAAATGAAAACTTGTGTTTTGTAATGAAGTACAAGCAATCATATAATTGGATTTACATTCTTGAAAGGCTGCCATTTGAGCAGATAGAGATTGAGTAATGAAGATCAATCAAGTGGTTACTCTGTAGTCCAGGAGAGATTATGAGGGCCTGAGCCAAGGCAGCAAGATGGAGAAGAGGAAACCAGAACACACCGACTGACAGGGGTGCAGCATGGATGAAGAAATAGTCAAGGATGGTTGATCAGCCATGATTCAGTTACAGATCATACAAGTCACTCTGGTTAGAGTAAGCAAGGAATTAGATCGCTACAAAATCATTGAAAGGGTTGAGGAAGCAGTCTCCAGACTGAGCCTCCATAGAATCTGGGAGATTCTATGGTATCTCCCAGAATACCATAGAACAAGCCCACAAGGGAAACTGCCACCACTCTGGTCATGGAGCACTTTGCTGCAGTCAAGAACAACAGGAGACTATTGTCCCAGCTGTGAACAGCAGGATCACACCACTTTAACTGTGCTGGGATCAGGAAGTTCTCTACTCTGCTCCCCAGAATCTGGCTCCAGAACCATGTTACCCTACTGTAATTTACACTAACAAAGTGAGTCTTTCACATGCTACTGCTACTTCCCCAATTAGCTCAGTTCTGAATTCAAATCTCACCCAAGTACATCTGATTGATGGAATCTAAATCCATCAATCCTATCTAAAACCCACAAAACCATTCTGGAAAACAAAACAAAACAAAACAAAACAAAACAAAAAACGAGGGAAGCATCGAATTCAAGAAATGATGATGTAAAAAGAAATCAGTAAAAATTATAGTTGTCTGAATAAGTATTAATGTATAAGGTTTAAAAGATTAAATAACCTAAAAGTGAAAATCCAAGAAAGTCCTAAAAGAATGGAAGTTAAAGTTTACTTTCTTTCCCTGTTTAGGAGAGATAATACGTACTAATTAATAACAAAAATTGATGGAAAAATACCCATTTGTGTGTGTTAAAATACTAAGGGTTTTCATTAGAAAAAGATTAGATGGCTAATTTCTGAACTACTAAAAGGAAAAACGTGATCAACAAAAAGCAGGGGAAAAAAAGCATTTGGGTTATCACCATAAATGTGAATTAAAGTCTTCTATTAGTAGACACTAACTCTCAGCCTGGCGTGGTGGCTCACTTCTTGTAATCCTAGCACTTTGGGAGACCAAGAGGGCAGATCATGAGGTCAGGTGATGGAGACCATCCTGGCTAACGTGGTGAAACCTCATCTCTGTTAAAAATACAAACAATTAGCTGGGGGTGGTGGCATGTACCTGTAGTCCCACCTACTTGGGGGGCTGAGGCAGGGGAATTGCCTGAACCCAGGAGGCAGAGGTTGCAGTGAGCCAATACAGCATCGCTGTACTCCAGCCTGTGTGACAGGGCGGGAAAATCTAGGCAATACCATTCAGGGCAGGGGCACGAACAAAGATCTCACAACAAAAACATCAAAAGTAATTGCAACAAAAGCAAAAATTGACAAATGGGATCTAATTAAGCCAAGTTTCTGCACAGCAAAAGAAACTATCATCCATGCAAACAAGGCAACCTACAGAATGGGAGAAAATGTTTGTAATCTATCCCTCTGACAAAGGTCTAATATACAGACTCTATAAGGAACTTAAACAAATTTACAAGAAAAAAAATGAACCCCATCAAAAAGTGGGCAAAGGACATAAACAGACACATCTCAAAAGAAGATATTTCCGTAGCCAGCAAACATACGAAAAAAAAAGTTCAGCATCACTGATTATTACAGAAATGCAAATCAAAACCACAATGAGATAGTATTTCATGCCAGTCAGAATGGCGATTATTAAAAAGTCAAGAAACGATAGATGCTGGCGAGGCTGTGGAGAAATAGGAACAGTTTAACACTGTTGGTGGGAGTGTAAGTTAGTTCAACCATTGTGGAAGACTGTGTGGCGATTCCTCAAAGACCTGGCACCAGAAATACCATTTGACTCAGCAATCTCGTTAGTGAATATATACCCAAAGGAATATAAATCATTCTGTTATAACACGTATGTGTATGTTTATTGCAGGACTATTCACAATAGCAAAGACATGGAATCAACCCAAATTCCCGTCAGTGATAGACTGGATAAAGAAATTGTGGTACATATACACCATAGAATACTATGCAGTCATAAAAAGAAATGAGGTCATATCCCTTGCAGGGACATGGGTGGAGATGGAAGCCATTAGCCTCAGCAAACTAACACAGGAACAGAAAACCAAACACCACATGTTCTCACTTATAAGTGGGAGCTGAACAATGAGAACACATGGTCACAGGGAGGGCAACAACACCCACTGGGGCCTGTCATGTCAGGGGTCAGCAGGAGGGAGAGCATCAGGATGAATAGCTAATGCATGTGGGGCTTAATACCTAGGTGATGGGTTGATAGATGCAGCAAACCACCACAAAACGTTTCCCTATGTAACAAAGCCGCACATCCCGCACAGGTATCCTGGAACTTAAAATAAATAGAAATAAAGATCTATATGTTATTTACTTTTTTCTTTACAAAGGTTAGAAAATTATACTACATAACTATCCTATAAGAGGAACCAATTAAGTAAATTGTGATATATATCACAATTGATTTTTATTCATTGTATGAAAATTATAATTTTTAATGATATATAAAATACTTATATAGCATTAAGGAAATACAAAGTTGTATATTTAGTATGTTCTTAATTTTTTATAAAAATTTATAGAAAAAGTTTGCAAGGAAATATGTCAAGTGTGAACATTATTAATTTATGAAAACTTATGGATGGTTTTTATCCATTTCTTTTTACTTTTCAAATTGTACTTCCTAAAATAATTGTGTTACACTTTTAGATCAGAGAAAAATAAATTTTTTAAAAAGTTATATTCCTCTTTTGTTCTCAATCTTCAGTACACAGTTCACAATCAAGTAGTAGTATCATTTAGAGACACCCTAAGTGGTGGAAACCAGAAATCCACCCTCATGGAGGATGAATCCTGGCTGATGGCTCTGTAAGTGGTACTATGAGCACTGTGTATGTTCCTCTTCATAATCCAATGAGGCTTCTTGTTCTAATATTTAACCTCTGCTAGAATCTTGCCATAATATGCTCACAGTTGGAGGTTTTTGGTTTATGGTTTACTTTGGTTTTGCCTAAACTTAAGCCAAGATCCCATTCAATTTTCTAGCTATGAGTAATATTACCAAGCTGCATAGTGGAATTATTAACCATTTGTGTGATTGATAAGTGGTAACTAGCATGTTTTATGGGACCTAAAGACTTTGAAAGTTTGACCGACTACACTTTCTGGGTTTTGCACTTTGTGATTAATTTTTGTTGCTTTTTATTAAAGGAGAGTTTTTCCATTTTGGAAGTGCTTGAGACATCTTCTATGTTGATGATTGGTAGTTATGGAACAGAATAATTGGGGTTGCATAGCTTAATTAGTAGAAAGATTTGGGTACCAAACGGAACTCAAACATATCATAAACTCAAACTCATTAAAACAAAGTGTATGTTCCCCTCTATAGTCAACAAAAAATAGACATGCTTTAGTAAGTCTGAGAAGTAACTCTCTGAATCTCTTTACTGTCTTTCTGCAGGAAAAAGCAATTTCGGTATCTGCTAGAATCTAAAGGAAAAAAACCTGGTATTAGCAATGAAGAAAATAATGAAAGCAAAAGACTTGTAGGAGAAAATACAAATCGTGCTACATTAAATTATACTACGAGAGACTTTTATAATGAAAAGCTAGAGGTAAAACTACCGTTAATCTTTGCAGTCTAATGCTAGGATATATCCCACATGGCTTGGAACTTGGGGCTTGTACATTTGATACTTAGTCAGCTAAGATAACTTTTTTTGTTCTGGAATATATGTCAGCCTTATATACAAAGCCGGGGACAGTAGGCACCAAGGTCATTAGGAAGAAACAGAGCCCCAAGATGAAGAACCCACGGTTTCAATACCTTTATTTCAACAGAAAAAAATGTTCAAGAGAAATCTGTACCATAAATCTGTAGCAAAAATCTAAACCAAAATAGGACCAAGAGTCCTGATCTATGTAAGAAATAGGGTATAGGCTTGCTGTGGATACTTAGCCAGCTTATGCCAGATTATCAGAGAACACAGCAGGACCTCCATTTTTGTCCTCCTTACTGGGGCCATTGATGTTTTAATTAATAGCTTTCATTTTACACCATTTTCTTATGATTGCTTAATCAAGTAATTTCAACCTGTTCTATTCCCAATATAGCTACTTAGCCAGGAAAATGGGAACTAAACCTTTATGTTTTATGTGGTCAGAGGTTCAGAGTGTTTTGTATAGGGCGGGCGTCCCCAAACTACTACCTGCGGGCTGCATGCAGCCCCCTGAGGCCATTTATCCGGCCCCCCGCCCGCACTTCAGGAAGGGGCACCTCTTTCATTGGTGGTCAGTGAGAGGAGCACAGTATGTGGCGGCCCTCCGATGGTCTGAGGGACAGTGAACTGGCCCCCTGTGTAAAAAGTTTGGGGATGCCTGGTATAGGGGAAAGCAATGTTACAGTGCTGCAGGAACTACAAAGAAGAAAAATATGTAGTACTTACCTTGATGGAGCTCATAGGAAAGCTGAAGAAACAAGTTATCTAAATAACAATACAGCGTTAAGATCCTTCAAGAGGATGCAGTGGCTCAAGCCTGTAATCCCAGCACTTTGGGAGGCCGAGGCGGGCAGATCACGAGGTCAAGAGATTGAGACCATCCTGGTCAACATAGTGAAACCCCGTCTCTACTAAAAATACAAAAAATTAGCTGGGCATGGTGGCGTGTGCCTGTAATCCCAGCTACTCAGGAGGCTGAGGCAGGAGAATTGCCTGAGCCCAGGAGGCGGAGGTTGCGGTGAGCCGAGATCGCGCCATTGCACTCCAGCCTGGGTAACAAGAGCGAAACTCGGTCTCAAAAAAAAAAAAAAAAAAAAAAAAAAAGATCCTTCAAGAGATTTTGAGGGAACAAAGAGGCAAAACAACAAGAAAGAGAGAAAGCACATTTATTGAGCATCTATGACTCATGTGCAAGGCGCTGTATATCCAGATATAAGTATATCTATAGATCTCCTCACACAGGTTATATGATGGATATATAATAGATATCTTTGAATATCTATATACCTGTCTTTAGATATATAGATATAACATTTAAAGTGCGTATGTGTGGCAGGGGGCAATGTGTATACTGCAGAAGTGAAATGACCAGTCACATGGTTTTCAGATGTTTTTAACAGGTTTGGACCTCTTTATTCAAACCACTGTATTGTAGCTGAAAACCCAGTAGATCAAAAGAAAGTGAAACAGCAGAGCTGCTGTTATTATAGAGGAAAAGTTGGAAGTTCAGAGCTTCATTTGAATTGGGTCTTCTTTTCCTTTTGCTTTCTTTTCCTTTCCCGTCCCTAGTCCTGAAGTGTCTCTTTGGAACCCGTGGGGCTCAAAGTATTACAGCTTGAAAATTACTTGAAAACACATTGCAAGACTATATATTTTTTTTTTTTTGAGACAGAGTTTTCGCTCTTGTTACCCAGGCTGGAGTGCAATGGCGCGATCTCGGCTCACCGCAACCTCCGCCTCCTGGGTTCAGGCAATTCTCCTGCCTCAGCCTCCTGAGTAGCTGGGATTACAGGCACGCGCCACCATGCCCAGCTAATGTTTTGTATTTTTAGTAGAGACGGGGTTTCGCCATGTTGACCAGGATGGTCTCGATCTCTCGACCTCGTGATCCGCCCGCCTCAGCCTCCCAAAGTGCTGGGATTACAGGCTTGAGCCACCGCGCCCGGCTGCAAGACTATTTTTAATAGTGTCCTACAAGATGTTCAGATCCTGCTTTAAGTTATTCTAGTGCAAGAAGTCCATGTTTCATGACATTGTGGTCTATCACAGAACAACTCTAAATGTGAAAAAGTTCTTCCTGATATTAAGCTTAAATCTGCTTCTTAATAACTTTCATTTAGTGATCCTAGCACCACCTTACATAGTAAAAAGAACAAGTCTCTTTCCTATGAAAATCCTTCAGATACTTGAAGTCAGCTACCTTGTTTCATCTTAGCACTCTACATTCATACTTTCATTCATTCAAAAATCATGTATTGAACACCTGTCATACACAACACACTGTGTAATATACTAGGGCTATAAAAAGACACTGTCCTTGCCATCATGGATCTCACATTCTAATGGACGAGAGATATATATACAGATAAGTATAAATCAGTGTATCAAGAGAAAAGAGAGATAATTAACCCAGATCAAAGGAGACTTTTAGAAAAAATGATGCCCAATATGAGGATAAAATATAGCTGTATTGCAAAGGGGAAAGAGACAGTTCTGGCAAATAGCACAGTGTGAATAAGCCATAGAAGTAGAAAACATTTAGGGAGGGCAAGAACTATAAGCAGGTCATTGTTGTTGAATTTCAGAGAGTGAGGTAGACAGTGTTAAAAGATGAGACTGGAGAGATAGTAAGAGAACAATGTGAAAGAGATTGAATGTAATCCTTTGGCCAATAGGGGTTTCCTGGTGTTGCCAAAAGAGGAAAATGAAGACCAGAGTGGCAGGCTTATGTATCCTTCTCTTCCTGAATACAGTTGGTTCTATGAGTGAAAAAATTAATATATATATAGTTGTGTTTGGTATCTATGGGGGATTGGTTTCAGGACCTCCTGCAGATACCAAAATGCAAGGATACTCCAGTCCCTGATATAAAATGGCATAATATTTGCATATAGCCTGTGCATATCCTCCCATATACTTCTAGATTACTCATTTCTAGATTACTTATACTACAATGCAACTGCCATGTAAATAGCTGTTGTACTGTGTTGTCTGGGGAATAATGACAAGAAAGTCTGTACAGATGTGATTTTTTTTTAAAAAATCTTCAATCTGCAGTTGGTTGAATCCATAGATGCAGAACCCGTGGATATGGAAGCCAACCATATTTAGTAAGTCTAAACATGCCAATTGACATTAAAGAAATTTAGAAAAACATCAAAGAGCTGCATTCAGGCCGGGCGCAGTGGCTCAAGCCTGTAATCCCAGCACTTTGGGAGGCCGAGGTGGGCGGATCACGAGGTCGAGAGATCGAGACCATCCTGGTCAACATGGTGAAACCCCGTCTCTACTAAAAATACAAAAAATTAGCTGGGCATGGTGGCATGTGCCTGTAATCCCAGCTACTCAGGAGGCTGAGGCAGGAGAATTGCCTGAACCCAGGAGGCGGAGGTTGCAGTGAGCCGAGATCGCGCCATTGCACTTCAGCCTGGGTAACAAGAGCAAACCTCTTTTTTTTTTTTTTTTTTTAAAAAAAGAGCAGCTGCATTCAAACCAAGGACAATTTCATAGTAAAATCTACCAACTCTTTAAGAAACAGATAATTCTAATGATTTTTAAATTGTTTGAGAGTATTGAAAAAGAAGGAAAACTCTTTCATGTTTTCAATACAGGCAGCAAAACATTGATTCCAAAACTGCCAGCATTGCATAGGAAAAGAAAAGCCAAACCAGACATTTAAAAATACTGGCACAAAACTCTTCTAACAATATTTTCGGCCAGAATACAGCAGAACATTAAATGAATAACAAACATTATAGCCAAGTGTAGTTTATCCTAGAAAGGCAGGAAAGATTCAATATTAGTGAGTTAATAGATCTAATATGAAAAATCATGATTATTTCTATAGACATTGAAAAGAAATTTCACACAATTCAATACCTATTCTTAATTTTGTAACTCAATAAATAGGATAAATGGAAATTGGATAGTAACTGTTATGCTTGATGGGGAAACTGTAGAAACATTAGCATTAGTAGTAGGCAGAATTCTAACCAATGTGGCCTCTGTGATCCCCACACCCTGGTATCCATACCTTGTATAATCCCTTCCCTTGGGTGTAGGTAAAACCTGTGACTGGCTTTTAACCAGTGAAATATGGCAAGGGTTAAGGTGGATGTGATTGATATCCCTAATCAACAGACTTTGAGTTAATGAAGAGGGAGATCATCCTGAGTGAGTCTGGCTTAATCTGGTAAGTCCTTTAAAAAAGGATTCAAGCTTTCCCTGAAAGACTTTTCTGTTGGCCTTGAAGAAATAAGCTACCATGTTTTGAGAGGTCCCACGTGGCAGGGAACTGCAAGAAGCTTTTAGGACCTGAGAGCAGCCCCAGACCAACAGCCAACAAGAAAACAGGGACTTCCTTCCCACATCTGCAAGGAACAGAATTCTGCCAACAACCACTTAAGCTTAGAAGAGGACTCTGAGCTTCAGAAATTAACACAACCTAGCCAATATCTTCATTGCAGCTTTATGAAGTCCTGACAGAACACCCAGCATTCCTTCATGCTCCTTACATCTTGAAAAATACTTCAATCACTGCAGCACAAAGTGCTCAGTCTCTCTTTCATACATCCTGAGTTGTTGAGAAAATTAATTGAGGTAAGTTCCTCACAAATCAGGTTAAGCAGACCCTTTCATTATACGTGTCATAACTCTGTTGCTTGATAGTTGTCCATCTATTCTCCTGACTCCTCTAAAACTGACTTAAGATGGACATAGAATCAGAGTGCTGAAAGGGACTTTAAAGAATCTAATCCTATTCTTAGATGAGGAAAACTGGAAACTCAGATGAGTTACTGAGGCTCACGTTGAATTATTGCCTGAGCTGCCTCTAGAATGGAGTCCTAATTCTGACCTTGGACACGTTCATGGTATATCATGGTGCTTTCTCAAGT